GATCTCTCCATGCTCTTGCTGAGTCCCATTCTCTTCTTCAGTCCATTCCATGTCTTCTCTATTGTTCTTTGGGTTTGCTTTCATTTTACCAAGAAGCTCTTTCAAACTCAGTTGAATAACATGTGCCATGCATGGTACCCGAATAACTGGTGCTTGGTTTGGTATCTCAAGTGACTGAAGGGAGTCTTGGATACTTTCAGCCAATTTTGAGTTATTAGACGCATTATCAGTGGTGATGGTCAAGACCCAATTCTCAATCCTGTGCTTTTGCAGTAGGTCAAAGAGAACTGAGCCTAGATTGACTCCTGTATGTGTGCCATGAAGCGGTTCAAAACCAAGCAAAATCTCACGATAGTTCCAATCTGCGTCAATAAAGTAGCCCGTGATGGCCATAAAGGCCTGCTGAAAGGGTGAGGTCCAGCAATCTAATGCAATAGAGATTTTAGCCCCTGTGGGAAGTTTGTGAAGGAGATTGTGCTGTTGTGCTTCAACCATCTCTTGAAGGTGACGTCGGACTATATATGCAGAAGGGATTTCCGGTAAGGATGGCAAAAGTCGGGCCATCTCAATGAGGGCACGAAACTGCGGGTGCTCAACAAGTTGAAATGGTAATTGTAAGGCAGTAATGAATGTAATGAGTCTCTCCATCCAGGCTTGTGGAGTAAATGTAGGTTTTTGAGAGGCCAGATGTGCCTAAGATAAATAGAACTGTAAAGATAGAATGAACTAGGAGGAATAGATATATTGACATACCCCTTCTTGCATAAGTCTTCTGATGTCTTGTGAACGAGGTGCTACTCGCCGGCAATTAACCCCTTGCAAGAAATGTTTATTCATAGAGGATGTTCCACAATGGCCATTTGCTGGATGATTGAGGATTTGGTCGCATATTTTACACATAACCTTTGGAGACCCATCCTGGATAGAGGCAACCTGATGAAAATGTTTCCAACATTCAGCCTGGCGCTTATTCTCAAAGATATTCCGTTTCATCTGACTTCCAAACTCAGTGTTCAACCACCATGCGACGAATTCATTATTCACCATCTCTGTCCAAAGCAGGTAATTTTTCTGTTTCTGTGGGCCAACGCGTTCAAGAGTGCTGGGGATGGGGGGCGGTATTGGAGGCCGCGCGAATTCAGTGATAGATGTAGAATCAGACATCTGCTGGTCATATGAAACATCAGGAATAAATGACTGTGGAAAATCAGATGAGAGAGAAGGAAAACTCCCTAAAGAGGCATCCTCACAGATAGATGAGGCATAGTTATCAGAAAACTGAGATATTTGACTTTGCGACATCGTAAATGATAGTCAGAAATGATCAGGAAAGACTGGAAGAGAAATACTAGAGACCAATTCAGCTGGGACTGAGGAAAATAGCAAATTATTAGAATGAGCTGCTAACGCAAGCTGAATGAGGGGAATTGATACATCAATTATGATATATAGGGCTGTCTACCTACGTGTATGATGATTGGTTGGTGAGGTCCACCATAGTCAGGTTCACTCAGGTTCGAACCTGATAGAACCTGGAGAACCTGACCAAGAACCTGCAGAGCCTGACAAAATCACCCCTGGACATGGAGTTGGTCTGATTTTTGTGCAAGTCTTTAAGGGAATAGTCTTGTTGCTTCTGAGGTCTGAATACAGAACATACAGAGTAAATATAGGATGAAATGATATATAGCATTGAAGTATTAGTATCCTGATATGAGCTTCAAATGGGCCAATTTGATTCAAATTGTGGCTGTTGAAATATATTGAAAGAAATGTTGATGCATATGGTCTGTAAAGTGAAGTCCAAATATATATACTTCGCATCATACAACAGATCAATGACAGCTTCTACTGGAAATACCTATTAAGGGCATCGGAACCACTAAGTCAAATCGGATATAATATTTCCTATGCTAACTATTCTATATACAGATGTAATTCATATGATTTCACAAGAAATATGGCTACATTACGCTGTTCCTGGATGTAATGACCAAAACAGTGGTAGATTACAGTAAAAAACCAAGATGAATCATCAGTTTTGTGCGTTCAAAAAAGGAAACTCTTGGCAGAATTATGCAAATCAGGTTCTGTCAGGTTCGAACCTGAGTCGAACCTGATGGAGCCGCGATCCGAGTCAGGTTCAAATATTTGGAACCTGAGACCCTGAGGTTCAGGTTCGAGGTTCCGACTTTTGGAACCTGAATCGGACCATTTTGAGGCCTAGTGGGGCCAACAAGTAATTGACAAGTGTTTGAAGGTCAG